TGAGCTCGGTGGGAGCTCTGTTAGGGGACGGACCCTCCCCAGGGACAGAGCCGGGTGCGTTTCAGACGGGCTCAACCGCGCTGTGATTAACGAAAGGTGCTGAGATCACCGATTTGGGATGGATCGGGGCAGGGCAATCCTGAATTGATGTCTTTGGGTGTCACAGCGCTGGTTCCTGGGTCGAACAGCCCGGTCGGTGCAGGACGCGGTGCCACCAGGCGGGGACAGCCGCGCTCTGCGGTGTCACCGCTGTCCCCTCCGCTCAGAGCGTGCCCGACTCTGTCACCTCCTCGCAGGGCGGCTCCAGCTCCGGGGCGCTGTCCCCATGCAGGGGTACCCCGGCCGGCTGGCTGTGGCTCAGGATGGTGGTTTTGCGGCTGCAAAGGCTCCCGGTGGAGTTGGGTCTGCGCAGCCCCGCTCGGGAACGGCCCCGGCAGCAGCGGCAGCGCCCGGAGCCCTGCACCAGGTGCCCGCTGAAGAACAGGTAAATCCAGGGGTTGCAGCAGCTGCTGAGGCTGGCCAGCAGCATGGTGATGCTGAAAGCCACGTTGGTGGATTCTGGAGAGGGAATAGAGGGAGGTGAGATGGCCTCGAGGGCTGGGTGGGTCTAARGGGGCTCTCCTGGCTCGCGTTCCCATCCCAGCGGGGCTCATTGGGGCAGGAATTGCAGAGCCAGGCTCTATCCTTCAGGTGGGAATGTGCCCGAGCATCTCACATCTCTGCGGGGTGACACCCTGCACGTTCAGGAATTCCCTTCGGCCCCTTTGCTGCCCAAAACATCTCCCAGGGGACTTTCAATYCTGCATGAAGTTCCTCCTACCCATGGAGGAGGGTACCTGCTTGGTATCTGCTAGAAAGCTACTGAAAACTTCCCTGAAAACTTCCAGGGTAAACAAAAATCARGCTGTGAAATGAGAAATCCACTTCTGAAACCTCTGTAAATTCCCACAGGAGGGGAAAGACGCGGGGCAAAGATGTCTTTGCGCATACCTATGAATAATGGCCAGAAATTGTCAATTCTCAGTGTTTTTTCTCATTAAATGAATTATTTGGCTGTGCAAATATTTTATAAATATTACCGGGGAGGAAATCTCGAAAAACCCCATGATTTTGGGTTTTTTAAAGGACAGAAMAACAGGCAGCTCTTGCTTATTAAAAACCCAACGGGGTTTTTGGGGTCCCCCGTGCCCTGCACCCACCCTGGGGTCACCCCCACCCCCATCCCCACTCACCATCGTCGGGAGCGTCCTCRTCCCACACCGACCACATCTGCACGCTGAAGAAGGGCGCCCAGCAGGCCACGTAGGCGGCCACGATGACAAAAGTCATCTTCACCGTGCGGATCTTGGCGCGGGAGATGGTGCGCACGCTGCTCACCCGCGACGGCTGCCCGCCCTTCCCGGGGGCTCCGGGGGCGGCGGGGGCGGCTCCCCCCGGGCCGGGAGCGCCGCTCTGGGTTTTGCCCTTGAGGTTTTTGCAGATCTCGTGGCAGATGAGGCTGTAGCACACGGCCAGGACGCCGACGGGCAGCGCGAAGACGCAMAGCGCCGTCCAGGTGACATAAACGCGCGCTCCCCACGGGAACCCGAAATGCGCCCAGCAATCCAACACCCCAGAGCCTGGGCGCACTTCCCGCAGCGAGAAGATGAAGATTTGGGGCAGGCTGAGCAGGCAGCTGAGCAGCCAGGCCGCCCCCACCATGGCGTAAGCCTGGCGGCCGGGCTGCTGCAGCGAGCGCAGCGGGCGGCACACGGCYAGGTAGCGGTCCAGGGTCATCACCATCAGCATGGAGGTGGAGGCGAACATGCTGAGCACCTGCAGGTATTTGACGGCCCTGCAGAGCGCGTCGGGCCCCAGGAAGCGGTAGGTGACCTTCCAGAGGAGCTGCGGCAGCACCTGGAACAGCGCCACGGCCAGATCGCTGAGSCCCAGGTGAAGGATGAAGAGGTGCATGCGGCTCATCTTCCTGCGCAGCCGGTACATGGCCAGCAGCACGCCCAGGTTGCCCACGGTGGCCACGGCCAGGATGGTGGCCAGCACGCCCACCTCGGCCTTGGCCAGCTGCTCGTCCCGGGTGTGCAGCAGGGTCAGGTTTGGAGCTGCTCCAGCGGGGCTCTGCTGGGAGCTGTTCAACCCCAGCTCCATCCCTCCGGGGCTCTGCGGGAGCACAGAGCTCCAAATCGCTCTCTGATGTGCTGRTGACCCCTCTCGAGTGGCCCCAGTGCTGTCCCTGAGCTATTGAGGGGTGGAAGTGCCTCCTCCAGCTGTCCCCAACACCTCAGCGGGTGTCACCTGTCACCTGCCAGCACCTCACTAACCCTGCATCAAGCGGCTGCAATTCCCTCTCTGCCTGGGCTGAAAATGTTCCTGTGGAGCTGAGAGGGGCAACAACCCCTGTTTCAGTTCTTGATATTTCTCTCGTGTGCTCCAAACATCCCTAAATTCCTGGTTCACTCCCTGATATTTCTTTTCTCTACTCTAAACATCCCCAAATCCCTGTTTCAGTCCCTGATATTTCTTTTCTCTGCTCTGAACATTCCCAAATCCCTGATTCAGTTCTTGATATTTCTCTCGTGTGCTCCAAACATCCCCAAATCCCTGGTTCAGTCCCTGATATTACTTTTCTCTACTCTAAACGTTCCAAAATCCCTGGTTCAGTCCCTGATATTTCTTTTCTCTACTCTAAACATTCCCAAACCCCTGTTTCAGTCCCTGATATTTCTTTTCTCTGCTCTGAACATTCCCAAATTCCTGATTCAGTCCTTGATATTCATCTCGTCCCCTCCAAACATCCCCAAATCCCTGGTTCAGTCCCTGATATTCCGTTTCTCTACTCTAAACATTCCCAAATCCCTGTTCAGTCCCTGATATTCCTCTTCTCTACTCTAAACATTCCCAAATCCCTGTTCAGTCCCTGATATTTCTTTTCTCTGCTCTGAACTTTCCCAAATCCCTGGTTCAGTCCCTGATATTTATTTTCTCTTCTCTGAACATTCCCAAATTCCTGATTCAATCCTTGATATTCTTCTTGCCCGCTCCAAACATCCCCAAATCCCTGTTTCTCCCTTCACTACTCACTTTGTTCACCCCTTCCCCCCCTGCGCAGGTAAATCCGAGCAGAAGGAAAAATTTTGCTTAAAAGCAGCAGAAATCACTACCGAGGCCGCATCCCTTCGGTCTTTTGGTCCCGAGCAGAGCAGCCAGGTATGCCTGGTGTGCCAGGTGTGCCAGGTGAGCCAAGTGTGCCAGGTGAGTGACCATGTGAGTGACCAGGGGTGCCAGGTGTCCCCTCCGTGTCCCCACGGGGAGCTCTGGCGGCTCCGGTGTCCCCGGGGCCGGGTTTTATCCCCCGCCAGGTCCCGCCCTCCCTCCCCGCCGGCCCCGGCTCTGGGCAGTGCCCATCCCCTCGGGAGCTCTGCCCAGAGCTGCCATCCCTGCCTTTTCCAGGCGGATTTACCCAAACGGGGTTTCCAAAGGATTGGAATCCTCCCGTGCCTGTCCCCTGCGTCCCCTCTCCCGCTGGGGACAATCCGCCCTTGATTCGCAGCGTCCTTTCCACTCAGATCCCCCAATCTCCGCCCTGGGCTGCTCCTGCTGAGCTCCCCGTGCCCCCAAAGCCCGGGAGGGGCGAAACCCCACAGCAGGAGTCAGACACGCACCGTTCCGCGCAGCTGAGCCCCAGCCCCGCAGCAAAGTCGGAGCGAACATCATTTACTGTCCCCGCACCCCGGGGCTGCCTCCTTTGATCCGCTGGGAAGGGCTGGGGGATGTCCCTGAGCCGCGGCAGAAGCCTCAGCCACTCCAGCACCCTCAAATCTCCCCAAAACACTCCCAAAATCACAGGTGAAACCCCACAAAGGTGACCCAACCCTCTGCAGCGCGGTTTGGAGCCTCCCGTCCCTGCGAGGATGCAGAAAAACCTCTCAGGCTGGGGAGGAACATCGGGAATTTTCTGTCCCTGCGATGATGCAGAAAAACCTCTCAGACTGGGGAGGAACATCGGGAATTTTCTGTCCCTGTGATGATGCAGAAAAACCTCTCAGACTGAGGAGGAACATCGGGAATTTTCTGTCTCTGCGATAATGCAGAAAAACCTCTCAGGCTGGGGAGGAACATCGGGAATTTTCTGTCGGATAAACCCGGCCCAGTCCCGGGTGTAAATCCAGCCGATAACTCCATCCGAGCTTTTCCCCTCTTGTTTTGCTGCGTCTTTTYATTCTGACCCAYATTTAAACAGAGGCAAYSGCCGGAGGRAAAATTGGAGCTACAGGTGCTCTCYGAGATAATAAATTACTTGTTTATCATCCTTAAGCTCTCCCTGTTGGTTTCTCTGCACAGCCAACGATGTTTAAAGACTTTGAAATGCTTCAATTTCCTCCCCTCATCTCCTTTCGCCGCTGCCGTTATTAGCATTTAAAAACCCAGGCACGGCCGGAGCTTTACAACCTTAAAATCAATAATGGGA